AAAAAAACTATTAAACATTCATACAAAATAATAACGTGAATGGTACATATCTACTTATGTTTTATGCTTTTATAATTTATTTTGTGATGACCGTCACATCCATAAAATAAGTTAACGCTAACAATAAATATAAATGTCCTATTAAACTTGTATCCAATTAAAATACACCTTGGTATATTTTTTCTTCCATTGTAAAGTGCATAATTATTTAGATATAAATGTATCATAACTTTAATTTTCCATAATACCCATGTGTGTTTATGACTCAATATAGACCTTTCTAGCTTTTTGATCAACCTCCTTAACTTTTTTGTCGATGTGTAAAAGATTGGTCTGTCCGCCAATAATTATGACGGAAGACCACTCTTGATTTTTCACATGACAGCCCTCGTCAGGAATTACATAAATACATTTGTTTATATTTCATTAGACAATAATCTACCCAAGATTCTGGTTTCCCAAAATAATTAGTTGTACCATTGACTAATCCATATTTTAATAAAAATAAGTTTTGTTTTTAATCAGAAGATGGTGTAAATCTTTCTCCTCAAAACTTAATGCGCAACAAGCATAATAATTACTGAAAAGTAGGAGGTTATGCACCGGTGTTTGCCTTCGGTATGAACTGGACATTGAAAAGTTAGTGAAGGCTTTGGGAACACCGACAACAAGGACATCCTCCTCGTACTCCTCGGCTACCTCCACGTATTCTAGGTTTGTCTCTGGCACGTTCTCAGTCATCACCGAACCTATATGCATGCAACATATATAAAGATGATTTAACACACCCATAGATAAAAGCACAACCTAACAAGATTCATAATATCTATGGATAGATCACATTTTTATCCAGCTAACAAAACTGGTTTGGTATTTTTCTGATTTTTCTATGATTCTTGGCAAATTTTGCAAGTTCTTTGTTTTTATAGAAAAAGAGAAAAACGAAATAAAAGGACAAAGAACATTTTGCATCAAGAACCCTAATCTATTTCAAAAATTATTAAGGTCCTCCAACCTTTTCTTTCTCTCTGGCATCTTTACATCTGAAACCCCGTATTTCTTTCTATTCTCTTCGCCACTCCTAATCTCGGCAACATTAACGTAGCCATGAACGGACGCTAGGACCGAGCCGGTGTTGGACCGGGCTGGATGAAAAAAACCCAGAAGTTTTGCCCTTTTAGTATTAGGTATAGAATCATGAGAGAATTGGGAAAACAAAAAATGACATGCAAAATATTAAAGGAAAGGGCATGAAACGGTCTTGATAGTCTAGAAAAAAAAGAGAAAAAGGAGAAGAAAAAACACAAATAGGAAATCAGGAAAAGAAGTGGAACGAATACGAAAATGAAAAACGGATCGGGTACGGTAACGGATCGGAGATAGTTTAGAAATAGAAAAAGGCCAAACAGATTACAGAATAGGAAAAGGGAAAAAATCAAATTTACTATATGATGTAATCATATTGGGTATGGGCTCTTTTTTTGTGCAGGAGTATAGACTCTTTGTTAAACATAGACCATACACAACCCAATATGTTTTGGAATCGGACTCCATATCGCACTAGACAAAAGCTATTCTAATTCGTACGAGCACGGGTTATATATAAGTCCGGATGAAAGAAATTCTTCATTGTCCGGTAGTTAGAGGGAGACGGACCAAAAATGGACGTACCAAAAAAATTAGCTGAAATTTTGTCTCTTTGTTATTACTAGCAAACGTGCCCGTGCATTGCAACGAAAAAGAAAGAAATTCATATACATCGGAATTCTATTAAAAATAAGCCTTCCTTCATCCGGGTGTCCGTGCGTGGCTATGGAACTCAATATGTATAGGAATCAGACTCCATATCATCGCTAAAAGCGAGTTGTTCTAACTTGTATAAAAACCAGTCATGACTCGATCAAGGTCACATAAGAGATGCCGAGAGTGTGACCTAATACGTCTTGTAATCGGACTCTATATGAATCACATCGTTAGACGTAAGTTGTTCTAACACATACGAGCATAGGTAATACATGAAGTGCGTGACCCAATATGTTTCGCTAGACATGACTTGTTCTAACTCATATGAGCATGGGTCATAAGTCCAGATTACATACGAGACATAAGTATGTGAGTCTAGTTCAGAAAATAAAAAAGCGAGACAGAAGAAGCTTTCCACTGTTCTGGTAATTAAAGCGAGAGGTGGAGTATAGATAAGAGTTTAGCGGGGAGCCATTTTTCTCTCTCCTAGTGAAATAAACCAAGAGCACGAAGAAGTCACGTTTTCTAGCTCATTCGGCTCCTGCTCCGGCTCCAACTCCTCTGCAATTGTAGCATGGAGCCGAAGTATGAGAGAGCCCTGCCAAAGAGGGCCTACGTGAGTACAAGTCCAGGGTGGCTGCATGTACGAGGTGTTGACCGGGACATGTGGTTTAATTTGATTTAGCCTCATGGTGGTCAATATGTGCGTTGACTCAAGTTTAGATGAGGGGTGGAGGTTAGTCATATCTCGTCGATGGTGGGTTAGATCAGTGCATAATAAGGATTCTAATAATGTCTGTACCAGATCAGTGCATAATAAGGAATCTAATGTCCGTACCCTCACCTCTAACTAGGACGAATGGATAGGATAAAAGTAATGGACCAAAGAAATTACGCTTTAATATTTGATAGACATGGATGCAAGCGAGACATGAAGATTTTTGGTAAACGCATAACGTTTTTTCTCTCCAATCGTACAGGAACCCAAAAAAAAAGTTATATATGACTACAAACACAACTTATCCAAAAGATGGACGACATATCCTAGCAAACTCTTCCAAAAGCGTCTCCGTAGGCATCGCGTTGGTGGCGTTTGCACAGGTCCTCGTGGCACTTGCAGAGCAACCCCAGCCTCTCCACGTCCTGTGCCTTCACAACCGCCTCCTTCACAGTCTCCTCGACCATGGTGGCCGTACACCGAACGGCGAAGCAGTGGTCCTTAAGGATAAACAGAAAACAAGACTGCTCGATGGATTACGGACTGCCCCAGGCTCTCTATCGGGAGAAGACTCACCAGCTTTGGCGGGTTCGTTTCATTGCTGGTTTGAGAAGAAGTACTGCTGGCTGGTTTGTATGAGAGAAAAATACTGTTCTGGCTGAAAATTTACGATCGTTTACGACAAGCCACAGCCAAATGAACATGCTGGTGAGTGTCAGAGACACCGTATGATGATGACAGTCGCCGTACCAGCGTGATGTCCTGGTGATGATGCCCCAGAGCAAGATCGAACTCAGACGTGGACGACGGTCCCGGCGGCGGCGGCACTCCGTTGAGGTGCAGGGAGACGAAGCCGGCGTTATCCTTGCTTTGGCCGTTTAGAGCAAGTATAATAGCAGGCTGTAAGCCGACTAAATGTTGAGGTGGAGGAGAGAGGGAAGAAGAGAGAGGAGAAGTGGACTGTAAGCTTACAGCCGGTTTGGGCACAAGAACCAGAAAGTCTGTGAGAGAGACAAGTGGGCCATGTATTAACTGTAAAGAGCTAACTACTATATGAGTAGGCTAAGAGAAGGCTTCAAAAAACCTCACAGCTAGCAAGCCAGCTGTATTATTAGCCTTGCCCTAGATAGCAATGGAGCCTACAGAATTCTATGTACCCTCCTACCTTGAACGCACAGGACTCTATGTAGATGGCGTTCTTGCCGTTATGCGTCGTCTTGAGCCGCGAGTAACCCTCAACATTGAACACGTGGTGCCCGGTTGCCGACCGTCGTTGCGGCGACGGTGGACACAGAGATCTATGGAGACGACGTTGGCGGTGGCATCGGCATCGGCATCGTGTAAGGGCACGTAAAAAAAAAGCTCGATGGAAACGGCGACATCGCCCCGCGCCGATCAAATTGAGTAGAACATATATAAATAAATAAAGACTTCTAAAAAATGGGAACGATCTACAATCAAACGGCGACATCGCCCCGCGCCGATCGAATTGGGTAGAACATATATAAATAAATAAAGACTTCTAAAAAACGGGAACGATCTACGATCTATCGATGCCATGAGATTTTAGCTTGAAAAGATTTATATATATTTATATATATGAGCAAAAAATACCTGCTCTTAATGAACCAAGAAACCTCTTGTGATTACACGGACAAAAAAATGTCTAGGACTCTAGCGGACAGATCTCCGTTCGTATGGCTTTTCCACTTTTCTTTATTTGTTTTTTGGTCCATTAATTAATGAACGTGTCCAATTTCTTTTCTACCTTTCCATCTTCTATAGTGCGTCAGATTTTTTTATTCATGTTTGTGTTCCCTTCGGTTTGCTCGGTTGTGCCAACGTTGATTTTCTTATCTTCCTACCCTTGTTGTGTTCGATTTCATGTTGGTTTCGGAAGCGGTTTTCATCCAAAATTCCACCATCCTCATAGTAGTTAGGAAAAGGCAACCGAGGCAAGGCAAATCAGTAAGGAAGACGTGTACTCTGTTTTTCATTTCCCTTTTATGTATATTGTGGTCGGATCGGGACTCCAGCTCATCCGATTTGGAAAACTCCTTCATCCGTGTCGGTCTCTAACTCTCTGACCATGCTTAGGAACCTAGAAGTGAAATCACCCTCCAACACTACATACGACGACACGGTACATACGGGAGGAGGGCGCGGCCCGGGCTAACAAATAGGCCAGACCAAAAACGTCCGGACAAAAAAAAACGGCTGAAATTTTGCCTCTTTATTAATAGTTATAGATATAATATAGATAGACTATAAATATGCTAAGTTTTAACTTTTTTAGAAGTCAAAATATATTTTTAAATTAGTTTTTTATATTTTCATTTATTCGTAGTTTCCACCCTATATTTTGCCTCGCAGTGAAACGGCGAAGCAGCTGAGGCCCCCGATCTGGTCCAACCCCCACCAAACCCCTACGGTCCAGCCGCTCGAAGCCAAATCCCTCCAGGCTCCAGCTCATCACTCGCACCATCCTACTCTCACCTCAAGGTGCAAAGCTAAGCTTCTCATTTCCCCATCACGCGCAATGGCGGCACTCCATCTGTCGCTGGCCCTGCTCCTTCTGCTCCCTTCCACCCCTGAGGCGACGTCCTCGGCGCTGCTGGGCATCAGCTACGGCCGCGTTGGCAACAACCTCCCTGCAGCCACCTCAGTGCCGCAGATTGTCGCCTCCCTGGGCGTCGGCCGCGTCCGACTCTACGATGCTGACCCCACCACCATCCGCGCCTTCGCCAACACGGGCGTCGAGCTCGTCGTCGGCGTCCCTGACGAGTGCCTCGCCACTGTCTCCACCCGAACCGGCGCCGCCTCCTGGGTCCGCTCCAACATTGCCCCCGCACTCCCGGCCACAAAGATCGCCTTCCTCACCGTCGGCAACGAGGTGCTCACCGGCGTCAACAGCTCCTCGCTGTCCAGGTACCTCCTCCCGGCGATGCAGTGCCTCCACGACGCGCTTGCGCAGGCCGGCCTGGACAAGCAGGTCGCCGTCACCACGGCGCACAACCTCGGCGTGCTGGCCACGTCGTACCCGCCGTCGTCGGCCTACTTCCGCAAGGACCTCCTCCCGATGCTCTGCCCCATCCTCGACTTCCACGCGCGCGCGGGCTCGCCGTTCCTGGTCAATGCGTACCCCTACTTCGCCTACGCCGAGGAACCCACCCGCGTGGAGCTCGAGTATGCGCTGCTGGAACCCGGGCATGCCGGCGTCGCCGACCCGGGGACCGGGCTGCACTACACCAACATGCTCGCGGCGCAGGTGGACGCCGTGTACCATGCCATCGCGGCGGCCAACAGCGCGGCGGCGCGGGCCGTGGAGGTACGCGTGTCCGAGACCGGGTGGCCGTCGGCGGGGGACGCCAACGAGACCGGAGCCACGCCGCAGAATGCGGCGAGGTACAACGGCAACGTGATGCGGCTCGTGGCCCAGGGGAAGGGCACGCCGCTGCGGCCGGCGGCGCCGCTGCGCGTCTACATGTTCGCGCTCTTCAACGAGAACATGAAGCCCGGGCCGACGTCAGAGCGCAACTACGGGCTCTTCAAGCCCGACGGAACACCGGCGTACGAGCTCTCCTACCGCCTTCCGCAGGACAACACCACCTCCTCCTCCGGTGGCAGCATTACCGGCGGTGGCGGCTACAATGGCCACGACTACGGGTCAGACAACGGCGGGTACTACAGCATCTCGGCCGCAGCCACGGCGACACTGGTAAGCTCTGCTCTCTTGCTAGCTGCTGCTAATGATGGTTGACATGCTAGCTCCTAATTTTCACTCCTAGCAACAGTGTGGGTGTGGTTGATGCTTGCTTTGAAATGATGGAATCGTTTTAAGAAAAAGGCTAATTTTGGATTTGTTGGAAAGGGTCATGCATTAGAGATATATATTCATTCTCTGCTGATATTTTTTTTCTTTGGCAAATTTAGTGCAATGTTGTAGACTTGGCAACTTTGCATTGCATTGCATCGATGCCGGATGCTTTAGTTAGCACTAAGGATGTCAGGGTAGTGCTCCATCCATCAAAAAAAAAATTGAAATTCTCGTTTTCCGAAAAGCCAAACAGTTTGCACTTTGACCAAAATTATATAAAAATGTATTAACATCCATGATACAAAATTAGTATAATTAGATTTGTTACCAAATATATTTTCATAATAAATTTATTTAGAGACATAAATGTTAATAATATTTTTAGTAAACTTAGTTAAATTTGAGCAAATTTGACGGGCACGGATCCCATAATTGCATCCTTTCTCGACGGAGGGAGTATAAAGGAACATGGCACAACCATTGTCAGTCAGATTAATCAATAACCCTCATTCGAGGAAAGAAAAATGCATGACAATGAATGTTCGGTAACAATGAAGCAGAGAATGAATTTTAGCTTTCGACGTGATTCGCTTTTCGTTCTGCATTCCAGTCTTGGCACAAAACCAGAAATGTGAGTAGGTAGCCCGGTAGCCATAAACACATGGTTGAAAGGTGGAACCACCGATAATCGCCACTGATAAGCAGAACCGAGCTATTTCCTTTGCCGTCAGTCACATAACCTGCAATGCAATCATGAAAGTTGAGAACAACCTTCAAGTGGTCTATCTGTCCATTTTTCTTTTCTTTTTTTTTTTTTGGAAAAATTGTCCATTGTTCTTCCGATTGGAACTTTGCGCCCCTTTTGCTCGTCTGCTGAGGTGTTACCCCTTTGTTTGTGCTTGCTAGGGTTGGTGGACATGGCCACAGGTAGCTGTGGCAGCATGTGTGGCTGTACTGGCCATGGCATTGTGACCATTAGCAGAGATCAAGTGGTGCCTGCCTGGACTTGGTGGATGGGAAGCCTCTGGCTTCTGATGGAGTCAGAGGCAGCGCATGGTGGAGTCAGTGAACTGATGTTCTAGACAAACTCATTGATCGTGGTGATCTACCCTCTCTCTCTCTCTGTTTTTTTTTTTTGTCCCTTTCTCCCATGTTGTTATAATTGAGGTGTCACTTGTAATTGGTGGTAAACAAATGGGCTAGACAAATGACAATTAGACAGCCATATTTTTGTGTTCTGAAATTGAAATTTAGGGCACACGATCTTTTTGAAAAGATAAATTCTGCTAGCATCCGGAGCCAAGTTGTTTAAAACAGCAAGACCTTGTTTGGTTGCATAGGGTTGCCAAATTGTTCAAATCGAACAGCAAGGCCTATGTGGCATTCAGTACCAAATTGTTCAGTATTATATACTTGTAAAAGTGGCGAAGCAACTTGCAGCCTGTTCGGTTGGCTGGTTCGTTTCGTTGCTGGTTCGTGAAGAAGTACTGCTGGCTGATTTTTGTGAGAGAAAAATACTGTTCTGGCTGAAAATTTACGATCGTTTACAACAAGCCACAGCCAAACGAACAGGCTGTGCTTCGTCGCAAAAGAAAATGATCCATGTGGAAAGCCTGACAGCCTTTTGTTTGAAACACCTCCGCACAAAAGCTCACGAACCAGTTTCAAAATAAAAAGAAAAAGCTCTCGATGTGCAAGTGAACTGGAGGAATAGACACTTCACATTTTTCCTTTAGTCTTCAAACTATAACTTCTTTGCTTTGTAAATGTGTTTTTTTAAGTATAAATATCAATACTTATGTTTTAATGCGTAGGTCACTTTAATTTTGTCCTATATCAAATTTCTATAAATTTAAAAAATATACAAAACATATTAACATCTATAGCACCAAATAAATATACATTTCATGGTGGATTTAATAAACTAATTCAATGTTGAAAATAATTGGATATTGTTTTATAAAATTAGTTAAAAATTGAGAAATTTCACTTGGTAGCAGCCTAGCAGAAAACTAAAACAACTTATATTTAGTAACGGACAGTGTATATATAACTATGTGTGATAGTATACTGCACATAAGTTGGTGCTAGTTTCTCAGCTTTGGATGCTTGTCAATTAGTGTATATTACTCCGGTTTATTGGCAACTTTTGATCCGGACAAAGGTCATCGCCTGCAGAACAGAATAATTTAGTCAGGTGTAAGTTACCGACGAAAGGGCACCTTTTATTATTACTTTTATAAGGCAGCTGACCTGAGTAGAGTGATCAAGTGAATCTTTGGGATGAGATGTGCTTCACGTGTGCTGTCTCTGGTTGTCTGCCTCTGGTTTACTACTTTTTCTACTATAGCTCCATGACCCCATGACCCCAGCCCATATGGAGCCGCGCTATGCCCTCTTTCACTCTTTGGCAAGTCGGCAGTCAGGGCTTCTCCTATTGGTGTCTGACGAGGAACGAGGTGGTCTATCTTCTACTCATTTTTTACTTTTTTATTTGCTTTATGGAATAGAATGAATTGATCCATCGCTACCTCGTTTCTCACAAGCTAATAATTAGTACTTGCATGAGAAATGAGTTGATTCTACTAAAATTCATGGATGAACTCATGATACATCATCTCATGAAGTATAGGGTGACTCCACAAACTAAACACTCCCTAAGTTTGCTACGTTTTAAATTATAGCTGCTACAAAAAGTATAGCAAGTAAAATTAAAGCTACATTTATAATAAAGTTTAACTAGAAAATAAGTGTACAAAAATGTATAATAGGGTGTGAAAAAAATGGCACACTTAGTTACGACAGTTTAACAAGAAAATAAGTGTACAAAAATGTATAATGTGGTGTAGTAATAATGTTAGGCACGAACCAAACAATCGCTTGGTACTCTGGTACTATTATTGTACCTGTACATGCACCGATTTGTTGGGATGGATCTAGGCATCCGCGCCATTTAGAGCATCCACTCCAAAATTAATATATAATAACTGTTAAAACATGTACTACATCCTAACAACCCTAAATTTGAGATTCAAACATGTTTGTAAAAATTAAAATGAAAATAACAAATTTTAGATGCATATACAATGGAGGACAAAATTCTTGAGAATTTGTCTTCTAGTGTATATTCACCTAAAATTTGTTATTTTTATATGAATTTTCTTGATTAAGTTTGAATCTCAAACCACAATGTACGTCCATAGTTTCAGTTTTTTTCCAAAACTCCTCTCTCTCTCTATATATATATATATATATATATTAAAGAAATTACGAATCCCGATTGAGCATAGAATTCTTTGGACTGCTCGGTTTTACTAGATAGCTTGCCTAGCCTTGCCTCACTTGGCTAGCATGAGACACAAGAACCTTGCCCAGCCAAAAGAGCCAATTTGGCTCTCTCAGGTAAGCAAGACAAACCTTGCTTACATAGATCCCCAAGTATTTAGGCAAGACTACCAACACCAGCAAGATTGTTCAATATGTTTAACTCAGCAAGGTCAAACAGTACCTAGCCAAAAACCAAGCAGCCCCTTTGTAAATAGAGTAACTTGCTCACTGTTAAGAGCAACTCCAAAAGACTCTATATCCTTCTTAATCACTACTACAGATTGATATATCACTGTCGCCACTTTCACTGTCGTAGCGATAGAAGCGACGGTGGTATACTTCCATCACCGGTTGGACCGATAGCGAGGCCTCCTAAGGCAGGAAACCAAAATTTGAAACTTCTACCACCCACGGGTTAACAGTAGATGCGGCAGTGGTATTTTTTCGTCGTATGAAAAGCCGAGCCAACTGGGATAGGCGTTATGACCGCCAGCCCTATAGGACCGTTTAGTGTACCGGCGGTAGTAAATTCAGCGTGAGTTATTTCCCCATTTTCTAACTACCCACAACACAGTTGCATCACCCTTACTTTCCTACGGAGTATGCCTCGTCTTCCCTGATGCGTATTAACTTCTCCTCTCCGCTTCTCCATCTTCAAGGGTGTCCTATTTAAGCCAATGCTGGATGCGCATCTTGGCAATCCACACACTCCTCCTTAGATACATATAGATACAGACAAAGCTTTTGAGCCAACCATCTATATTCTTCATTGCCATGGCGCTCCTTCTCCAACTCCTCTGGCGGTAGTAGCGTCGTTGGGAGAAGGTCTAAATGATTGGGTACTACCGGCATCTAGGTGCAGCGGGGGCTGCTCGATCTAGGTGCTAGTGGAAGTTTTGCGATTAAGGGGTTCGCTTATTTGGGCAAGCCAAGGGGTATTGAATGCACTTTGGTATCCCTGGTTTGCCCTGCGCATTTCTTGTACTGCCGATTCACCATCCCGGTGCCCTGGCAATCCTCCTTCCTCTAGAGCAGTAGCCACGATGGCGGCGCTTCTCTTACACGCCTCCTCTTCTTGCCTCTCTCCCAACCGTGAGAGGTAAATGCCTCTATCTCTCTCGCGCTCGTGACCATGAGATGTGCAGCAGGGAAGGTAAAGTAGCTCACTAAGATGCTCCTCTTCTTGCCTCTATCTCTCTCGCGCTCGTGACCATGAGAGGTGCAGCAGCAGGGAAGGTAAAGCACCTCACTAAGATGCTGGTGGAAGTTTTGTGAGGTGCTGCCTCATCCTTAGCTTGCACTGCCTGTCTCCAGACTCAACTATGGGATGTACATGTACTTGATAGGTCTTTATTATTATACACCCAGTAGTCCTTGATAGGTCTTTGTTGTTGTACAACTATGGAATGTAACTGAAGTTATCAATGAAATTGCTGTGATGATTGTTACTGTGTCATTTATATATAGTTTTTGCCTTAAAAACAATTAATAACTGAATGGTTGTGATGCTTGTTACTCTATTTTTTAAAGTGTCATAGTATTTGCCTTGGCTACACAGACGTGAGATAAAGCATCTCACTAACATGGTGCTGGGGTGGAAGTATTTGCCTTGGTTT